TAATAATAATAATAAGGTCGGTTGGGTCTTAAAGCGTTGCGTTCAGTGTTTGCACAAAGATAAAAACTTTATGGCCACCCACAGCAAATAGATAAAAGGGGGAAATATTAAGGCGAAAACTGCGACTAGGCTGTGATTTATGCGATTTGAATGTCGTAGTCGGACGGCTTTCTGATAAGCCACGCACCCAAAATGAGCTACATTTTGCAAAGGCGCTTATCAAAAGCGACTGATGGCGTCTGCATTGCAGTTCTACGAGTGCAAGTACTGTTTGCCTTGAGGTTCTTTTAAAATGCAGTTTTGTGTTAAATTGTGAATCATGACAATGGCAACGAATGGCGCGCCAAATCTGATAAGACAACACAACAAAGAAAATCACATGTGAAAGTGAAGAGACCAAAAATCTCGAATCAATGGAGGGCGATTGCCGCGACAGCCCAGAGACGGTCCTATGCGATATGTGATGGCAGAGAGCGAGCAAAAGGAAAAGGTAAGACGAGTATTCGCCGCTGCTTGCGTGCAAACACTCGCCAGATAAATTGTGAAACGGAAATGAAACACCTACGTAAATAGTGCAGGCGACGCGTAGACACAGGCGCAAACAAACAACATCCTAATTTAGATAAGAGCCGCCAGGCCAGCAGCCAGCCAGCCAGCCAGCCAGCCAACCAGCCAGCCAGCAGCAGCAGCAACAGCGTTTTATGGCCAAAAGAAAGTAACCGCCGCCCGCTGCCCGCTGCCCGCTGACCATTGTGTGCTCTAATTAATGCGCGATGGCGACCCCGTTCCCGAGAGCAAAATCAACCCGTGGCGAACTGCAAACATCACCAATGTTTCAGTCCGACTTGCAAATGATTTCACCTCTTTCTTTTAGGTCTGCCACGGCACTGCTCTAGTTTTGGTGTCACCTCGTTTGCTGCATTACTGGTATTGCTGGGATGCTGCGCCCGAACCCGGACGGTGTCGGTGTCTATGTGGCTCTGTTGGCCATAAAATTGGCATTGTTGTGTTTAGCACACACTGGCACAGTGCGGTCGTAAAACAAAAGACGCTTTTATGGCTGAGCTCATTACGAAACAAGGAACATACTGTACACAACACAAGACCCATCCAACACAGCAAAAAAAAAAAAAAAGAACAAATTAATTATAATACTGGCCGTGTGTTTTATAGATATAAATTCAGATAAGAGTATATTAAATGAAACTTTCGTGCAGAATTAAAAGTAAAAATATACAACTAAATCAATTAGTTTAGAATAAGGCCTTCGAATTATCACTTCAATACAAGAAATAAATAATATCCACTGTGCAGCTAATCCAGCAAGCTTCAAAAATCACAAATCTTCTATTAACATTTTGATTATACATTTTTAATGAATTGAAGGAGATATCCCCAGTATTATAGAAAAGTGGCAAATAAATGCCATGACGCAAATTACTTTAGGAAAGCAAAACCGATAATAAAATACATTTTGAATTATTTCTCATTTTGTGCAGTTAAAATCTTGAGATTTAGAAATTACAGATATTCATGGTGAATGTGCAGTTTCTATAATTTGAAAACAGAACTCGAATGAAGAGAATTAAATCCTAAAAATTAAAATTTTTAATAATAAATTTACTTATTTGAGCAAAACGACGACACGTGCCTTCGTATTATATATTGTTTGCCTGACATATTAGAACATTACACTCATCATCACTTACTTTATGCAATTTGGCAAGCAATTCAATACTTACTAATGAGCTTCGATAATTAGACTAACTTAAAAAAAGAGGAAACAAACACGTGCATCGGCATCGATGATTTTTAGGTGGCGAAGCCAACGAGTCGGCAAAGTATATTAATTTGTGTGAAAATATTGTACAAACAAATAAATCAACAATAACAAATAATAACAATAAAAATAAATATTATACATTTTATATCATCGATACGGGCACACACAATCAAACATCACACACATACACGCATAGATGGATAGATGGATAGAGACAGTAGCTCAACTTCATTTATCTGTGAATCTGTGAAAAGTTGGTCAAAGCGGACATTTTTGTAAAGTCACGGCCACACGGCGCATGCGTCATTCAAATGCTCAGGGCAAACAAAGAGTGGAGCAGCATTTTAAAGTAATATAAACACCGAATCAAATAGAAAACAAAAACTAGAAATAAAGCAAATATTTTTCATAAATATAAATGTTAGTGTATTTATTGGACGAGTGGGCGCGCGTCAACAATTGAAACTAATTAAAAAGTTTGAGCAGGGCTTAGAATCCCGTTCCAAACCAAACCGAACCGATCCGAGCTGAAGCCGAACTAATCCGAACATTGGGCCGATTCGAACCCAAATTTCGAATGAAAAGTGGCGCGCTTTAAAAGCAAATAAATAAATAGATAAATTACTAAAAGGTAAATAAATACGCGCAATTGTACATACAAAAATATATATTTTTGGACTGTTGACGTTACTACGTAGAGCACTACTACGAGTATTTGCTCTACGTCATCAGAAATCGTTGCCCCGACAAACATTAATGAGACAGAGGCACTTGGATCGCTTTGGGAAATACAATAAAAATATTAAATATTTAAGCACATTATTAGAAATGCACACAAAACAGTGGCGAAACATTTGAGTCTGCATTAAAGAATGGGTATCTTTGTGTACTTATGTCATGATATTAGTAGTACATATTGAGTGAGATACATACATACCTATTTTTGTATGCATGTATTGAGGCATATGTGTACATAGGCGTGTGTTCTGCACTGTTGGCTGTGCACATAAACAAAGGTGTATCTACATTAAATACAGTTAAAGGTATACGCATGCCTCGCAATAATGAATGTATTTTTAAATATTCATTTGACCGTAATTTGAATTGCCCAACAATATTAGATATGTATGTATTTGTACATATTGAAGTATATATACACAAAGCGTTAAAGCTCATATCAAGTGTAAAATACGCAGAGAGAGAGAGAGAGAGAGAGAGAGAGAGCAAGAGAAATATTGAGCTAGACTATTGCTAAATTTAAAGGCCGTTGTTAACAAGACTAAATATATTGATTTATAGTTATATGAATGGTAAACGCCGCTACAATAAGAAATAATAAGTAATAATGTCAGCATACAGACCTCTATTTTATGTTACTTCGATAGATCATATTATTTAGAATATATCTGTTACCCATATTTATATGAAATAAATAAACTTTCTAAATGTCAATTGTCCGCTTATTTCCTGGGAATATATAATAAGAGATTCAGATAATTCACATTCGATTTGTAGATTTGAGTTGTGAATATATTAATCAGAAATACTATATAGCAAGTCCGTAAGTCTGTTATGACTCGATGCTCAACTAATTTGTGGGCTTTGATATGTTGAATATTGCATATTCTGTGCGAAAAACTGCACAACAGCACAAGCGGCTTCAAAATGGAATTTCCGCGCATTTTCAAATTGCAGGTAGCACATAATTGAGTAAAAATTTTCATTGAAAACTGATAGCCCTGGTACAGCATAGGGGATGGTGCCAGGATCTGTGAATTGGGAACAGGAACGCGAAAGCGATCGCATTGTATAACACAAATTGCCCTGGCCATAAAACAGTTATGGCCAGTGTGATGAGTGAGTATAAACAAAAAAACACACACACATACACACACACACACACACACATAGGCACACATCACACAAGATACACTAACAGCGAAAGGGTTAAACGGAATGCACAATGAAAGGCGTCAAGCGAAAATTACTTAAAGTTTTTATAACCGAAATTAAAATGCGTTTTATCCATGGCCATAAATGGACGGCGGTCGATGGTCGGTGGTCGATGGTCGATGGTGGTCCAGGAAGTATTCCACATTGCACGCGTGCAGTTTTGCATCAATGAATTGCATCTCAGGTAGAATAATGGTGATGACGACGCAGCCAGAACTGGGTCACTTTCGCAATGACTTGCCAAAAAAGAAAGATGCGGCTGCTGCCGTTGCTGCTGACGATTGCTGCTACCGATTGCTGCTGTCGGTTGCTGCCGTTGCGCGCGACGCCTCGCAACGAATGTGAATGAGTGAGTGTGACATTGGCGTACCTTAACCTCAAATGTGCAAGCTATAAAAAAAGGAAGAAAAAACACAAGCACATACACACACACACACACACACACACAGTCACACATACGAGCGCGTGTTATTAATGTCTTGCTTCTTTGGAGCCATACACACATTCTTTTTGTTTTGTCAAAAAAGTGCCGTCAACATTCTCTGGCTAAACAGAGCGTCTCAGCCGTCAGGGCACTGGGGCCTCTGCCACTGCCACTGCCTCTGCCTGGTGTAAGCAGGAGCGAGCGATTATTGATCGCATTAGAGAAAATCGTTAACTGTAACATGGCGTCGCTCACACAACGACAATATGCGGCATTAGGGCGCTCAGTTATGCTATTGCAATTGTGTCAGTGTATTTGTGTTTTGTGGCAGCTGTCTGTGCTCCACACACACACACACACACGCACACACATACACACATATCTGTATATATACTTATACAAATACACCAACGAGGGCGTTGCTCGCTCGCCGCAAACTTCAGCTCCGCCCATTTGTTGTCTTGGCAACCAGGCGCTGCTCTGTGAACACAAGAGTCCGCTGGCCAATGCGCTTGCGCTGCCAGCGCTGTGTACGTAAGAGAACCGGTGCTTGTCATTGGCAAGACCTCCGAACCGGTGGTGAATCGTCTGCATCTGTGTGCGTGTGTGTTTGTGTGTGTGTATGTATGTGCATGCGAGTGTGAGACGGGAACAAGGCGCAAGGCCATGTGCGAGAGCGAGTCGACGTTTGTCTCTGGCTGCTAACGCAGCTGCTGCTGGCGTCGCAGTCGCTGTCATCGTCATCGTAGTCGTTGTCGGCGGCGGCGGCGGCACTTGAGCGCGGCTCGAACAATATTTGTTGGCAGCAAGCGCAAGCCAAATAGTAGACAAGCGTTCCCCTCTGCAAACAGTCACATTCAAGAGCTCAAGCCAAAGAGACACTCGAGCGGACCAGCAACAGCAACAGCATCGGCAACGACAACGACAACGAGAACGGCGACGGCAACGACAGTTGGCTCAGCAGCAGCAGAAGCAGCAGCTTCAGCTAACCTCAGACTCAGACTCAGTGGCCAAAAAACAAGCTACCAATTCACGTTCGTGCGTCGGTTCGTTGCGGCGCGGCGCGCATTAAAATAGAGTCATATTTGCCACGTTATTTTATTTCCAAATTTACACAAGGCATCAGCGGCGCACACAAATAAATTAATCAAAGTGTTTAGCTTCAAGAGGAGCGACAAGTGCACAAACAAATGCCAAAGCCCAAGCAGCAGTAACCGCAACACCAACCTGCAGCAACACACCAGCAACCACCAATAACAGCGGCTTAAAGCATAGAACATCCAAGCAACAACAACAACAACAAGTGACAAGTGCAGTGCACAAAAATGCAACAAATACTTAAATTAATTAACGCAGTGACAGTGCATTGAACAACAACAATAACAACAACAACAAAAACAACAACAGCAACCAAAACGAAAAGCTTTAAAATAGAAAAACAAATTTTGGTTGCTTATTAAATTGTATAAAAATAATTGAACGCGTCGAGAGAACGCGTTGATTAATTCTAGCATCAATTTCAAACGCACCGCGTTAATAAAGCCGGCAACATAACGGCGCAACTATTGAACACCTTTCTCAAGGGGAGTCCCCACCAGACCACCATAGATATAATGCAAAAGCTATATGCTGAGCCGCCGCCCAGCAGTGCGCCGGTTAGCATGTCTAGCGCTGGTGGCTCTGCATCTGGCGGCGTTGGCGTTGGTGGCGGTGCGGTACCCACCAGCATCAACAATGCCAATCCCACCTCCAACGGCGGCAGCATGAGTCCGTTGGCGCGTTCTGCATACACCATGAACAGCATGGGTCTCACAGTCGGTGGCATGTCCTCCGTGTCGCCACAAGCGGCGGCAACCTTCGGCTCCAGTGTCCTTGACTCGGCGGCAGCGGTGGCCAGCATGAGTGGCAGCATGGGCGCCGCAGCTGCAATGAATTCAATGGGTGGCAACTGCATGACGCCCAGCTCGATGAGCTATGCGAGCATGGGTTCACCATTGGGAAACATGGGGGGCTGCATGGCCATGTCGGCGGCAAGCATGTCAGCGGCAGGTTTGGGTGGCAGCTACGGCTCCATGCCACCGGGTACTCGAGACATGGAGCCCGGCTCACCCAATTCGCTGGGACGGCGGGGAGTTGACAAGCCAACGACATATAGGCGCAGCTATACGCATGCGAAGCCTCCTTACAGTTATATCTCGCTGATCACGATGGCTATACAGAACAATCCGACCCGCATGCTGACGCTGTCGGAGATCTATCAGTTTATTATGGATCTGTTTCCGTTTTATCGGCAGAATCAGCAGCGCTGGCAGAACTCCATACGCCACTCGCTTAGCTTCAATGATTGCTTTGTGAAGATTCCCCGCACTCCGGACAAGCCGGGCAAAGGCTCGTTCTGGACACTGCATCCGGACTCGGGCAATATGTTTGAGAACGGCTGCTATTTGAGGCGCCAAAAGCGATTCAAAGATGAAAAGAAGGAGGCAATTAGGCAGCTGCACAAGAGTCCGTCGCACAGTAGTTTGGAGGCGACCAGTCCGGGTAAGAAGGATCACGAAGACTCGCATCACATGCACCATCATCATCACACGAGTCGCCTGGAACACCATCAGCACCACAAAGAGGCCGGCGGTGGCGGCGGCGTCGCATTGGCGGGCGTCAATGTCCTGAGCGCCGCACACAGCAAGGATGCCGAGGCGCTGGCAATGCTGCATGCCAATGCCGAACTGTGCCTCGGCCAGCAACCACAGCATGTGCCCACGCATCATCATCATCAGCACCATCAGCTGCAGCAGGAGGAGCTGTCGGCGATGATGGCGAACCGATGCCATCCGTCACTGATCAGCGACTATCACTCGTCGATGCATCCACTGAAACAAGAGCCATCCGGCTACACGCCCTCCAGCCATCCGTTCTCCATCAATCGCCTGCTGCCCACAGAGTCCAAGGCGGACATCAAAATGTACGACATGAGCCAGTATGCCGGCTACAATGCGCTCAGTCCGCTGACCAACTCACACGCTGCCTTAGGCCAGGACTCATACTATCAGAGTCTTGGTTACCATGCGCCCGCCGGCACCACGAGCTTGTGACATCATCAGTATCCGCTGGCTTAAGGGCGCGCGGAGCAGATGCTGCGCTTTGGCGGCGGCGGCGGCTCGCATCAGCAGCACCAGCAGCACCAGCAGCAACACTTGCAGCAACAGCAGCACCACCATCAGCAGCAGCAGCAGCAATCACAACAGCAGCAGCAGCAGCAGGCGGCACAGCAACTGACATCCGCTACAAACAGCACTACAACAACAACAAAGGCCAGCAGCAAGCCAACGGTGGCCGTCAACTACTCCCAAAAGCTGGCTGCCTCAGTGCAGCAGCAGCAACAACAGCAACAGCAGCAGCAACAACAGCAGCAACAGCAACATCAGCAGCAACAGCAACAATTACTGCATAGTCAACTGGCTGCCGAGCTGCAGGAGGACTCCTCCAACATTACCAGCGACCTAAGCGAGGAGCAACTGCAACAGCATCAGGCGGCGCAGCAGCAGCTCTACAACAACTATCAACAATATGCGGCGGCGGCCAGTTACCGCAACTGGAATCACAGTTTGACCTTCAACAGCGCCGCCGCATTGCAGAATCTGCTGTAGCGCAGCACAAGGCGCGGCTTTGTGTAGGTCTCGAGCTTGAAATCGAAACTCCATGGCCCGAATGCCTAACAATCTCTGTTATGTTCGTTCGGACTGCCCGGGGCTAATTAGCGAGCGGCTGTTCAATGGCTTTTAGCACCTGGGCGCATCCTTTGAGCTCGAGATTGAGCACGTGAGTACGGCTCCCTACACTTGTAAATAGTTCAACCTACTCTCCTTCAGCAAGCACTTGCTTAGCCTTTTGTCTTTATGTTTTATTTTGTTTTCCAATGTCGTTCTGTTGAGGAATTCAAGAACAAAAGTGATGTAGTTGTAAGCGCAGCAACGGCCACATACGTGTGTACATGTGTGTAGGTGATTACTTTAGCCGTTAAGCAAAGAACTTTGTTAACATTTAAGTTTGCTAAAAAAAAAACAAGAAATTCCGTGCCATTTGTTTATCCTCTATATAAGCAATAACAATCAAATCGGTTCAAACAAACATTCAGCATTTTAAATGTATGTAAAGAAAACTGATGTAGCGACACAAATAGAGAGAGAGAGAAAGAGAGGGAGAGAGAGAGGGGTAGAGATAGGGGAGTGTGAGAGGGAGATGGAAAGGAGAGAGAGAGAGTGAGGGAGGGAGTGGGAAAGCGAGAGTCAGAGAGAGAGAGAGAGAGAGAGAGAGAGAGAGAGAGAGAGAGAGCGATAGAGAGAGAGCGCAAGCATAGCTGGATTATGTATAATGTTCATTAAAAAAACAAATCCTTTTTCCAAAGGCAATCGAATTCGAATCGCAAATGATCAAAAACCAAAAAGAAAATATCCAACAATTTCAAGACACCCCTAAGAATCCTCAAATTTATCGAACTAAGCAACAAAATTTGGCCATTCATAGGAAACGACACGTTTTAATCATATAATTTATAAATTAATTTCAAAGTTTTATGTGTATACAAACAATTTTCTATACATTTGATTTGCATTGTACGTTTTCTGTTACTGTACGAATTCGTTTAGGGTTAAGCATTTTGTAAATAGTCTATAAATATATGTGTATGTATAGCATATTTAAGAAAATTTAAATTAAACTCGATGCCCAAAAAATAAAAATTTTTAAACTAACTTGAGAATTAATCAAATTGTATGCTACACAACATTAACAAATATTGTATAGCAATTAACATTTAATTAGCATAAATAAAAAAGCAAGTTAAAATACGAAACAAAAAAAAAAAAAAAACAATGAACGAAAAACTGCAATTATTATTCAATAATTTTTTAATATTAATTTTATTATTATGCGTAAACAAAATCACACATACGCGCATTTTTACATTGAGCTAAGCTAATTGAAACCTTATAAAAAAAGAAATAGTTTAAATATGGCAAACAAAAGAAAATGAATAAAAACTACAAAGTAAATAATATACAATGTAAAATACACGCATTGAAATTCATAAATGTCAATAAAAACCGAAATAATAAATCCAAAATTGAAAGCTAGTTAAAATTAATATTATAAATCATGCAAAAATTTAAGAAAGACTATTTTAATGTTTGAAATATACAAATAATAGAAAAAAATATCATCGATTTGTTTGAACTTTCATTGGTAAGGCAATCAGAGCGTTGCCTTTATTTATTTAAACAACTGACCTCAAACAAGCATTTCTGTATTGATTGGATCGGGCTATCAATGCAGCATGAATATGAACGACCGATAGCGCCTGTCGTCGGCACCCAACATCGAGCGATTCCAAGAGTTCTAGCCTATCTTATCGTGACTCGGATGTAGAGTGCAGTTTCACTCATGTGCTTTTTTTGTGTTTGATAACTTATCGGAGTGCACTCGTAAATTGCAACGAAGCAACAAGGTAAACAGCAACAATTACAACAACAACAATCCTGACTGACCCAACTGCGATAGTTACCTATCCCAAATGCAGCGATGGAGGCCTCTGCTGTTGTGTCCCTATTTGCTTTCTAGTAATATACATATGACACCTAGGACTGGTTGTTTTCCTATCTGCTTCTTATCTGTGCAATATAAACAAAATCCACGACTGATCCGTCGCAGTTACCCTCTCAAACAAATACACATAAATATAAAATACATACACGTAGTAGACGTATGTATACCTATAGCTGAGTATTCAACTACAACTACTGTCCCATAGTTGGTTATCTTTGTGATTCATTTCAAGAATCTAGAATTTGTCCCATGTCTCTCTGGGTTCTCATTTATAATTCTCGAATAAAATACCCTTCTAGCTCTTTAGCACACCTATCTGCGGTGAATGGTGAACGGTGTACGGTATCCGGTCATGTTTAACAAGCTGTTGTCTTTTTAATTAAGCAGCTCGGGAAGGTCACCATTATATTTGTATGTGTGCATGTATCTATATCAATTTGTATGACTGTTGCTGGTTGCTTACTTACTTTTATAGCTTTTACTTTCCCCAGAATTACTCCATAAAAGAGTACTGCTTGGTCTGCCAGACGAAAAAATGGCGTTTGGTTTGCTGTCGATTCGATTTCGATTTTCGTTCTTTCCTTGACATTATGACTGCCAACGCTAACGGGAGTTTCTTCATTTTACTCCCAAGCAACCAACCCCAGCTGAATTGAATTGGTTTTGAAATCTGTGCTTTGGGGTTGCTTCAACCACCAGACCCCATTTGCACCACCCGCAAGCATTTTATTCACATATTCTATATCTAAGCTCCTTCATGTCAGACATGCGCGCTGCAAAGACGTTCAGACCTGGTGGCTTGCTTAACTCTGGCCTTATACTCTGTCAGTCTGTTAGTCAGTCATCTATCTATTCATAAATGGAAGAGCCAAGTGATGATTCGCCTGTACACGCGATCAATATGTAATTATTTTAGCATATGTCTGGCTTGTTCGACAATTTGTGCTTTGAATATAATATTCTATTAAAAAAGTTTGAACTTGTAGACCCACCCGACATCAACCCATCAGCTAACAATACAATCACAAAAACTGTCATGACATTTTGTTGAGCATTACAAATTCATGCAATTGCGCCAGCTAACAAATTGAGTTGATGGGAAAATGACTTTTCAGTTAGGTAATTTTAAATATTTACAAAAATGTATTAAACATTTATTTCATTGCCTTTTAGTCTGAGCTGAAGTTTTATTTAAATCGTTTCTAACAAGCATATTATTTTATGCTGTAATCCCATATACTTTATATTAGATTAAAAATAAATACTGAGTTTTACATCCCAGTTTGCGTGAACCACAAAAAGTGAATTTAGTTTAGTCTTTATCTTATTCAGATTGTGAGCCAGAGGTTAGGTAGCATCCAATTAGCTCGTAAGCTATTTCTGCTGCTGCTAAAAACCACAATCTTGTAGTAATTTTCTAATGGAATATTTAATTTCAAAACGAGACACAGAGAGCTAAACAGAGCCGGCAGCCAGACCAGCTGGCAATGGGGGCTAAAGCTGAGGCTGGCGCATAAAAGAGACTCTACTATAAAAATGGCAACCCTTTTTTTCCCCACAATGCGCAGCACACGTAGCAGCGGTAGCAGCATTGCCAGCTTATGCCGGATGGATACACAGGAAGTAGTGGCACAGAGCCCCGTCTCTGCCCTCGCACCCTTCCCCCCATTGCATAGAAAGGGCAAAGACAGCGCACGTAGCAATGGCGGTGGCAACATCGTCGTCATCGTCGTAGTCGTCGACATCGTTGTAGTCGTTGTAGTCACCGCACTTTTTATTTAGCTGCAGGGGCAGAGCTCGCTCGCTCGCTTGCCTGGTTGGTTGGGTGGCCATCTCCGTCTCCGCTCCCGTCCCAGTCCGCATTTCTGTGAATTTGCCAGTGCCAGGGGCCGCCCCTTTTGCTTGCTTTGTGCACTGCTTTTTCATTATAATAATACTTTGTAATTAGGTTTTCGAAAGTTAATTAAAATTCGGTTATGAAAGCGGAAACTTTCTCATGAACGCTTCCGGTAACGGTAAAATGAAAAACGCATGAAGGCGGAGCCACAACAACAGGGCCAACTGCGTTGGGGCCTGCGCCACGTTCCGGATATGGTTCTAGATCTGTGTCTGTCCTCGACTCGGTTTGCGCCTTGTTAGCCAAATGAAAAAAAAAACGAAAAAGGATTTTTGTCAGTTCCCCTTCCGTTCAGCTGCAGTCAGAGTCGGAGACACAGACAGACACAAGTTCTGGAATCGGGAGTGGGATTGGGAGTGGGGAGAAACAACGCAGGGAGCTCAACTTTGTTTCGAGGAAATTTTTGTGCAAACATTTCTGTTAAATTAAAAAATACATATTATATTTTAATGAGCAAAATGGCTGCTACCAACGATGAAGTACGCTCCGTTGCTGTTGTTGTTATTATTGTTGTTGCGTTTGCTGTTGTCACGTTTAATGCGCGACGAGCCCATTCGCAAGGTTGGCCAACATTGCCAACGGGATAATTAAAATGATGACTTGAAAATAAATTGCTGTTATCTTTGACCAACAGGCTGGTTCTGAGTATGGACCCCACCCAACTCTCGCTAGCGTGGTCTGTCGATGACGCGTCGATGTCGATGTCAACAGTCGCCACATCATTATGTCCCTGCCCAACGTTGGCTCCGGGTTTTCGCCACACGCTCTCTCTCTCTCTCTCTCTCTCTCTATCTCTATCCTTCTCTCTTGCCTTTCAGAGAATATGTGTGTGCTCTATCAGCGACTGCCACCGCTGCGTGCCTGTGAGCGACACTTACGGATTAGGCCAATGGCAACAACAACAGCGCGCCAGGCTCAGGCTGACAAGTGCCCGTCTTTGCCTGGTTGTCCTTTTTGTCGCTGCTGCTGCGACTGCTGCTGCTGCTGCAGCTATCATAGACGTCGACGCTGCTGCATTGTGTTTTGTTTATCTTAAACATTCCACACATAATTAGCAGCAAAGCCGCCCCGTTAGCATTGCCTCCCCCACAGCCGCTGCAAGCAAATTGAAATTAATCCGTGCAACCTTACGTTTTGGAAAATGCGGGCACGTGTCCTAGAAATCACTGCTGGACCACGCCACGCCACGCGTCGTCCTTTTTGCTAGTTTTGTGCTTGGCAATCAAAACATAACAAATCGCCCATCAGCACGAGTGTGAAATTTGTTGGGTATTATCTGGGAAGTCGTAGCCATAAGTTTTGGCATGTTGGGCATACTCATATCTCGGCATCTGTATCTGTATCTCTATCTCTAATGCTATGACCGGCAACAGCAAGCTTAGCTGCAGCAGCAACGCATTAATCACATTCGGCAGTTGTGGGTGGGTGGCAGCCGGAGGTGGGCGGCGATTTGTGGTTGGTTGGCTGGCCCGTGGTTCGGGCTCTGCGCCATGACAGTGACTGATGTGCTGCTAGTAACAACGGCAACGGCATTGGAAACGACAAAGGCCTCTTATCGATTGGCAGCCGCAACACACCTTTATCAAGCAGCCAGCCACCGAAGCTCCACTGGATTGGATGAAATGCGAGACGACGACGGCGACGGCTACTAATAACCAAATTGTGTTTTGACAGGCCAGCAAGCGACAGTGCTTCGATGGAAACTTGAATGCTTCACGGCTTGTGACTAAAATTATTAGAATATGATAAATGTTCTGGATCATTGTTTGCCTGACAATCGCCCCTAAAAACCATCAACCATACTTTGCGAGCCTTCGTGCATAATTATATATAAATTTCGAAATTGACAGAAATTATAGCTAACGACATGAATAAAAATAAAACTGGAGTAATACATTATAATAATAAAAATAACATATAATACCGATTAAAGTTCAACTTAATTTGTAAGTTCTGTTGGTGTAAAAAGCAAATGAAATAAATATATTTTTTTAAAAGCACAATATATTACGAAAAACATATTTTGTTTTGTCCAGCATATTTATTATGAACAAATAAATAAATTAATACAAATAAATACAATAGAATTACATATGCCAGTTGTTTAAAGTCTAGGATTTTTTTAATATACTCATGCTAAATATTTTAATTAGCTTAATGGCTTAAATTCTAGTAAACAAATATGCAATTCGATTTCGAGTACAAAGAATTTTTCTCTTTTAATTAAAACACGCACAAATTGCACATGCAATATTCACAATTAAAAAGCAATTTAGTTAATTTAGCAGCTGGAACGGAAACAAAAATGATGCTGCATCTAAATATACGTTTAGCGTTTGGCATATTATAAATTCCATCGATGCGTGCTCATTAAATAAATTTAATTCAATTTATTTTCAATTTATTTGAAAATGTATTTGCACTCGCAGCCAAAATTAATGTGAAACATTCAGCAATAAAACAACTACAACAACAATGGCAGTTGAGTATCAGCAATACTAGAAGCCGGATGCGATAGGGAGTGGCTGGGTTGGCTACCATTGCAGGCGACCGCTTCCGGTGGGGACAATGGCAACGGAAACGGACATGGTCAATGGCGCAGTTGGCGCATCCTCATGCTCATCCTGTTGGTGGAGCTGGAGAGCTGGCGCTTGATGTTTGCGCAAAACGCTTCACTGCATAAATGAATGAATGAGCAAGTGAGTGACT